TATATATATATATGGTTTAGTTTTATATATATATAGTTTAGTTTCATATATGTGTGTGTGTATATATATATATATATATAGGCATTTGCCCCCAAGGTACTATCAATGAGAAAAAGAAGATAGATAGGCATAAAAGGAGTGAAAAAGTAAAACTGCAAAGATCATCTCCTAGAACTTTAGAAAATATGGCAAGTTTTACAAAGAGCCCCCTTCCATATCCAGAGTAATAAGGCCTAGAGTAACACAGGTTTTTCTCTCTTCAGCTACCAAAACATCCCAAAGAACCCGCCGTCCACGTCTCAGGCCTAAAACCACCCCGAGCCCTGAAGCACCTCAGACCAAACCTGGTAAATGTGTGATTCTTTGGTTTAGAGTGAGCCCTGGCAGCCTGTCCCAGTGAGGACCCAAGGAAGTGCCAATGGAGGGTAGTAACAGGCTTTATTCTCTCAAGCTGAGGGCAGGAGGCATTATCGTAGCATCTCCTCTACTGAACTTCCAAGAATATGACTGAGTGAGAACCAACAGGTACAAGAATATGTTATTCTTTCTATGTGAGATTCTTTTTGAAGCTATGTATTTAGTGTATTTCTACTATCAAATTTCATTCAAATATTAAAGGTGAAACTTCTTGAGCAGAGCCAATACATGTGTTCAATTCAAATGAACAAATTCTAAGTTCCTTGCATAGCCCTGGACCCACACTGGTAACTGTGATATTCCACCTGTGAGAGATTTATTTTACTTCTGAATAGTGAGTCGAGAACATACTTGCATGGTACGAACATAAAGTACTGATATCAAAATATGCTGAACTTAGACCTCAGACCTTGGGCCCACTACAGAATTTGGTTGAAGACTGAACATGAGCGAGAGCCAGAAAGACCGTTCAGTCTGGATGGTTGACTTCTAGGAGGTCAAAGTATGGCTGTTTCTGCTGCTGCATTTGGAAAAGTCTATTGGGCCAGTTGAAAGATTTTGGAGGACTTGATTCAGGAACTTAGGTTCAATACAGAGACAGCAACAGTCTTTGATTTCCACTTTTTCTGGGCTGAGGATAGAAAGATGCTCTCCTAGCTATTACAGACCAAGTGACCACCTCTATTCCACTTTCTTATGTGCTATAGTTTGGACAAAGATCTCAGATACTTTCCATATGTGGGTTTTTGGCAAGATCAATATAGCCCATTTGGACAGTTTTTCTATCTTTTTAAAACTTATTAACTGTTGTATCCATGTTTACATACGTTCAGCTTCCATTAGACATTTCATCTCACTTCATGTGACAACAGCGCCAGTCTTTGTGGCCATTCAGTCGCATTCTTCTTAACATTATGAAGAGTCTAATTATCTGTTGTGTTTAAAAGAACTAGCCATGCACACGTGTACTTTAGAACTTTTATTCCCAATGTTATCTACTAGAAGTTGTGCCATGTCACTCTGTGTTTTGTTTAGTGTTTGTGGTAAAGGTGTATTTCAAACATCTCTCTCATCTATACAAAGTCATTATTAACTCTTAGAATGCCAAGAGGATCCATTGCACATCCACTTTCCTATCTTTTTTCTACCTGTATAGTATTTCATTGTTTTTTCTCTACTTAAGTAATAACATGTTTTTATTTTAATCATTTTACAGAAAATATTTCAAAGACTGAAAGATTCAATTACAAATCCCAGCTTTAATGGGACTGTCCTTCATTGTCCATTCAAATTTAGCACAGTCAAGTTGCCCTAGGAGACTTTTAATCACTAGTTTTTATTTCTTGACTTAAAAAGTTATTTTTGCCTTCAAATAATTTTCTGAAAGGAGATATATGAGGAAGATATATGACAAAAATATCAAGCTAAAAAGACAAAAATCTAACAATCCATAGACTATATTTAGTCATATTTTCACCTCCCATGGTTTCCAAGATCACAGATAATATGGTTATGTGGTAACTCAAGAATTTCTTCCTTCAGCTTCCAAACCACCACAACGGACGCGTCGTCCACGTCCCAGACCAAAAACCACACTAAGTCCCGAAGCACCTGAGTTCAAACCAGGTAAACATGTATCCCTGGTTTAAAGAGTCCCAGGAGCTAAACCCAGCAGGATCTCAAGAGTAATCCTAGTTGGGGTAAATCTGTAGGACAATTGAAAGCCTTGTGTTTCCTGTGCTCCATCTTCTCTGTCACTATGAGTTTCACTAGCTTTCATTTATCTCTTCAAAATGAAACTTCTTTAGAATAATTAGGCATATTCCATTCAAATCAACAGACATTTATTAAATGTCTTCAGTATCCTCCAAATCATTTAACATCTTTGGGAGGGGGCTATACTTCAGAGGAGGGAGAGTGGTAACATTTTAGTTCTTAAACCTGCAAGATAGTTGAAAACAAAGTCCTTCCTTTTAAATAAGGTAGAAGAAGCCATTAGGCAGCACCTGTGCAAATATAACTAAATTCAGGGAACTACCAACACTAGCTACATGAATATATGGAGAAAGGAATATATTGTTCATTAAGAGAATGAGTGGTGCCTTGAAATCACCACAGCGCATGGATGAGTAGAAGAATGGGGAGCAAAAAGTCAGAGAAGATCAACCAGTGAATAGAGTCTAATTGGAATGCTGGTATACAGTAAGTCTTACCTCAAGGCAGCAGTGAAAACCTTCTGCATCTCACTGGGTGCATGGACATCCTAGTGAGAGCCTTGGGTGCCTGATGGAACAGATGAGATTCCATCTGATAGACACCAGCAAGTTCCTTTTTCCGTAAAAGCATGCTCTTTCTCTGCTTAGAATGGAGTGAGCTATCCTACTTAATTCATCATGCTGAAGTCCCAGTCTCTCAAATGCTGAGTTCTCAGGAATACCCACACAGTTCACTTTGGCTTGTTAATAAGAATCAGATAACCAAATAAGGAGGAATAAAGAAATAGCTATTTAGCAATGGCCACAATTTAGGAAATTGATTGTCTACTTTTGTCATTTAACAGCTCCAGAAACTATTATACTATTGGGTCGTCAGGACAGTCATGATGCATTTTTGCATAGAAAAATAGATCATGACTTTCCCAACAACCTAATACTCAGATTCATTTTTTAAAAATGCTTTAAGTTTTTATTCATTTAAAACAATCATTTGCTTTATGTCAGTTCCTACTGCAGAGCTCGAACCTGATATGCTCAGAACTGAAACTTGGGTGACAACACAAGGTAATAACATCTTGTGATCCTCAGTAAGTACGTGTCTTGCTCATTGTCAATCCATTCCATCAACATCACAGCTGAGATTCTTCTACTCTGTAAGACTGTACTATCATCCTTTTTTGTCATTCCATTAGATTCATCATTCGAAAAGGATTGAAAACTCACTCAAAACAGGTCACCCTTTGTTTCTAAGGGAGCCATCCATATACCTAACTCACGTCATCTGTCGAGCATGTAACCATCTGGAGTTTTGTCATCCTGTGTGCTTTTGCTTTACTAATGCTTTGTTCAAGGTGACTTTAAAAAGCTATTTTCTTTACTCTAATAGTTATTATTATGCCAGGGAGTTTCTCTGTAGATTTAAAGTTTTACTATTTACTTATTTGTTGATGCTATCTGTGTGATGTTCTTTGATAGCATTTTAATTGTGTGGCCTTATTTTAGTAAACTGTCAAAGAACTTTAGCTGACTACCACCATCACAATGGTATTTTTAATAGTGATTGTTAATAATGAAAACCTATTCGTAACTTCTCAAATTAACTATTTCCTTTATTCATGACACTCTCAATGAACCATCAATTGTAAAAGGAGGCAAACTTTTATAATAAGGATAAAATTTTCAACTGAAAGAGACAGTCCTAAAATCTGAAAAATCTGAATAGTTTTAGATGAACTAGAGCCAGGTTCAAATCTAGATGGTTTTTAAACTACAGGCTCTGTAGTAACTAACGGTTTTTTTCCTTCAGCTCCTAAAACATCACGACGGACCCGTCGTCCACGTCCCAGACCTAAACCCACAACACATCCTGGGACTCCTCAAACCCTGGGTAAATGTGGGGTTT